TAAATAAGTAGTAGGCCTACTGCAAAAAAAAAGTTACTTTTTGTTGCGTTTTCGTAATCACTACTTTAAATGCTTCAGTTCTACATGGTACGTGCTTCATGATTTTGTTTAAGTGCGTTTGCTTGTGGTCGCCGTCCACATTGCAATTTGGCTATTCATCGATCAATGCCTACTTGATTTCCTTTTTCAACTTGAGCAGAAGTTGAAATTACCGTCAAATGCAATTTGCAGCAGTGTACATGAACACAATAATGAACTTTGTGTAATTTTTTTACCATAAATAGCGACACCCAGTGTCAGAAAATGTCCAGTTCCCAGCTTGGGAAATTTGTTATGGTCGGTGATTCAAAGGATTGTTTTTCTTCTAAAATGTGCGATTGTTGCAGTTCTGTGTTGGCACATGGGCGTCAATCCTGGGGGGGGGGGGGGGGGACACACCCACACTTTGTGAAGGATGGGGGAAATATCAAATCCCCCCCACCCGATTTTTGAATTCGTGTGTCTCATTTACAGGGCCCTATTATGTACTGTTGCTTAAAAAAATTGGTTAAAGTGATCAGAAATTGCCTCAGATCGCACCACAGAGCATCAACATTCCAAAATTTTCGGGATCACTCAAGCGGGTCCCGGACCCCACGCCTTTAGCTTAGAATGTATTAGCTGATTCAATGACTTCAACCTCGAAAATTATCTTTAAATTATTATCTTTTGCTAAGAAAATGTTGGTAAAAGTGGTCAGAAATTGCCTCAGATCGCACCACAGAGCATCTAGAATCATTTTTTTCCCTTTTTTTTCACGCTCGTATTAGTTCTGATCGAGGTATCTGCCCCCCCCCCCCCATTTTTGAGAAGCGATTGACGCCCCTGTGTTAGTAGACTGGCGAAGATTGTTCTTGTCTTGATTGCACTCGAACTGGCTCTAATTGCTTCGCTGGTATCAGTGTTTTCTGATTGAGGAAGTAGCGAAACTTACCAAATGCTGTCATTTTGATTCATGCTGTACCTTGAACCCACGACATAAGCACTACCTATAATGCATGTTAATCATTACAACTAGCCTCATTCACTTCCTTGTCTTATGAATACAACCATCAGTTGAACGTGAATTCAATATCGAACTGCCATTGCAGACAGAATTATGTATAACAAACAGATTTGGCAACGTTCTGACTTTTTTCTCATCTAGATCTGCGACCATTTACCAGTTTACATGTTTAAGTACCACATTATTATGTTGAAGTGTTGAGCTGAATTTGGCTAAGATTACGGTGGTACAGGATCGAGGCTAGAATGGGATGACGATTTTTGGAACGTGAATCTGAATGATTGCCTAACAAGCGACGTCAATTACAGAGGAGTCAGTGTTTGGTGTGATCAGTGCAATGTCTCCAGATTAATAGATAATGTGAGAGATGGAGACAGACTGGAATTCGTGAAAAGCAATCTGTCATGTGTGCACTGGGGCATCTACGTCGGTGTATGGAGCAGCTTGCGATGGGGTGTAGTCCACTACATTCCTGATAACGAAGAGGGAAGAGAATACTCGGACGTGTTAACGTCCTCTGATGACAGTTCCCCAGTGAATGATGTACTCGCGGTTAACACCATCTATGATTTTATAATGAGAAACAATAAAGTAAGAATCAACAACTTGGAGGATAAACACTTGCCACCGGTAGGCACGGGACCTATTCTCAAGGAAGTCAGGTATCAGCTCAAAGAACTACACGAGAAGTCTGTACTCCAGCAATTCTACGTGTGTAGAATTTCGTTCAAAGACAGTGAGACATTTGTGAACTACTGTCGGTACGACTTCGAGATTGTAAGCAAATGGTTCAGTAAGGCTGATATCGAGGGCTTTATTCGTAAAGTGCGCGTAGGAGACAGACTGGAGTTCGGACTCCCTGCTCCGTACGACGAGCGCTGGGGCATCAGCCAGTGGGGGGACGACCGCAAGCAAGTAGTCCGCTTTCGGTCCAAGGGTAGAGATAAGCCAGAACTTTGTGTTGAATACATTTGGACAGCTCTAACGGACGATGAAGTCAGAATCAACAACGAGGGAGATTGGAAATGGTCACCGATAGACAGGCAAACTATTCTCGGGGGAATCAAGCGTCAGTTGCCGGGCAAGACGCGCAGGTGCGCATGCAAGGTTTCGTTCAAAGACAGTGAGGACTTTGTAAACTACTGTCGATACGATAACTGGCGCATTAATTTCGCGTTAGTCAGTGACTGGTGCGATTCCTGGCAGTCATTGCCTGGATTACGTGCGGGTGACAGGCTGGAGTTCAATCGAACCCTACCGTACGCGCACTGGGGCATCTACGTCGATGAATGGGAGAATGACCGCCACCAAGTTGTCCATTTCACCCCGGCATACGGAAACGGGAAACATTACCTCAAGAAAAAGAAGTCAGGTTCCGGGTCCTCAGCAAGAGATGCACCTGCTTTCTGCGTAGCGTCAATCTGGCAAGTTACTGGCAACGAGAAGGTCAGAATCAACAACAAAAGAGACAAGACCTGGCTACCATTACTCAGGGCAGACATCTTGAATGAAGTTCAGTTACATCTGAAAGATCAAGATTACCACAAGCCAGTGTATCATCTTATCTCAAACAACTGCGAGCACTTTGTTAACGATTGCAGATATGGGTTACATCGAAGTGACCAGGTATCCCGGTTGAAATTCTGGAGAAAGAGCAGAAGTGTTATTGGGTAAGACTGATTTCCAAGGCAGTGGCAGCGGCAAACTTTCGTGTGCTGGATTTCGTTCCCACATCTACCAAGAAGCAATGTGTGGACGTCATTGCTCCTGTTTATCAGCATTATCAACCACAGCACAGAGCTGAGACAGGGCTTGTATACCATCTTCCCTGAAATCGGCGTTAGTTCGGCCGCTCCTGATCCTGCAAAACAGCTTGGGGATCCTGATATCTTGCCATTATCATCCAGGCTCGAACCTTTCAAAATTACTAGAGTGTGCGGTGTTCAACAGACTTCATCATTTCTGCGGATGAATGATCTTCTGGCATATACGGCAGTCAGCTATTCGTTAGTATTCGGTCACCGTGGGCCATAGCGATTCTCTACACACTAGCCCGCTTGGACAGAATAGTATGATATCAAATATCATTGCTATGCAGAGAACATTCAATTGTCTATGTAATACAACCTTCAGTCCAAGTCCATCATAGTTCAGCAATTGAGGTAGAAAACTTTGAGGCTAGTGTCGATCACATTAGAGGATTCATGGTGGAGTGTCACCGAGCGATTAAGAGAACCGAACTCAAGCTCTGGTGTTTCTGATCAGCAGAGTGTGGGTTCGAGTCCCGGTCTTGACACTTGTGTCCTTAAGCAAGACACCTAACCATTATTGCTTCGGGTGGGGCGTAAAGCCGTAGGTCGCATATGTTGTGTAATGCACATAAAAGAAAAGAGCCCAGTATTAATAATAATAATAATAATAATAAAAATCAGAAGGGGTATGCCCCTGTGCACGTGCACATGTAGCCTAATTTAAGGCACCTATATAAAGTATACATTAAATGATCATGGCAATATTGAAATCGACCGCTTTTCTCCAATTGTGTGTTCCTATTTCCTTCGGGCTATGTTTTATTTGATTTGTTTTGTTATAGTTTTAAAGTCCTCCCTGCCCCAAAAGTGCCCCGCCTGAACCCCAGAAACACATTTTTTTTCCAACCAGCTATTATTTTTTCCTTTCTTCCATTCTCCATAAGGAGATCACTAGTCTTTTCTCAATCATGGGAGGAGATGATTGAGATGCATGGTGACAGCAAACACGCCGGTCCTTTCCAGTGGTGGTTCTACGGGGGGGGGGGGGGGGGGGGGGGGCGCCTAGGGGGGCTTTGCCCCCCCCCCAAAAAAAAATTGTCTAGCCCCCCCAAAAAAATCCATAAACAAAATGTACTAGCAACTGTAAGAATGTGACGTACATGTGAACGGTCTCACCCTACATAAAAAGTCTTGAGAAGGGTGCATTTTGTACACTTTTAGTTAATATAGTGTGCATGATTGTAGGATTTTATCAGCGCTCCCCACTGAAAATAAATGGCACGAGCCCCCCCCCCCCCCCCCCCCCCCCCCCCCCCCCCCCCCCCCTATTAATTTTCGAAGGCCCAAGAGTCCGGAGAAAATAACCGGTCTAGACTATATTTAATAGCACGCCTCCCTGAAAAAAATTTAATTGTCAGTCCACCCAAAAGAAATACCGGCAAATCCACGGAACTTACATAGTTTATTGCACATGAAATTACATGTGTTTACAAAAAAATATTCATGTTGGAATTTTATCTTGACATTGCACAAGAAAAAAAAAGATGAAATCAGTTGGGGATGGGTAAAAACAAATTTTACAAGTTTACGACCTTTCACATCCAGCATTTTCGCACCTAGGTCTCCTTAGTTGGCATTCACGTTTGATTTCACACCGCACTTGTGTGAGAACGGAATTATTAATGATGACGCAAAAATAAGTACCCGATGGATTCGAGATTCTACTCTGGCTTACTTGAATACAGTTCTATTCTCAATGTCATTTTAGATTTGTTTGTAACTAAGAATAAGTCCTTCAACTCAGTTAATATAATTGTACCACAAAAGACATTTTATTATCATTATTATTATTAGTTACCATGCCACACAAAAAAATCTACATCACAATCAAGATGGGCACTGGGGGAAAAAAAAGCAATACTACTATTATATGGTCGAGGACCTGTCATTTTAGTTCACTGAATTCGATCCGGCCTAGTTTCAGAGTTTACCCAATGACCGCCACATATTCTTTGCAGAACACCGAGTCTGAAGTAATATAAGAGGTCGTTTTTTTGGCACGATATTTCACTCTCACGTCATGCGATGTTATTGAGTTCCTACCTGAGCCGAGTGACAATTATTTTACGAAAGTTTAATTACGCTTATTTTCGAAGCGCGCCACCAGGTGTTAACAACAGAGGGCGCTGTTAAAGATGGCCACTTGCAGTATCCGTTCACGAAAATGACATTGACAAATCGTTTATTTTTGGTTACAAAAAAATCCCCTAAAGTTTCCTCACAGTAGCCTACTCCAAGTGGTTTTAAAATATTAGTCTGCTGGATCCTACTGAGTCAATATTTTGTCAAGAGGTAAAATTGTCCTCGTGTCCCATTACTCTCATCCCTCAAAAAGGCTAACACAACCAACGCGTTCGGTTAGCAAAATAACTTCGCGAGTCGCCACACTTTTCGCGATATCGCCGGTAGCCTGGTTCGGTCATGGCAGAAGGTGGTGGTGATGGTGGGGATTCCCCGATGGATGGTCATGATGGTAAGCAGGAAATGGGCTGGGTGATCAGTCGTGTCCGTAACCCATTTCTGTCTGCAGTGGTCTGTGCCTAGGCTGTGCTTTAGGTAGTGGATATTTTGCCGGAGGTAACGCCGGCAAACTAACGTTTACTAAAGGTTTGCCGGCGGCAATCCATATCAACAGAGGGCGCTGTACTCTTTAAGATAGGGCTGAATTATAACATGTATTAAATTCCCACTAAAAATGACTAAAGCTGTGTAGCACAATCGGTGCAGTGGTTAAGCAATTGCTCTAAAGAGTGGGATGTCCCGAGTTCGAATCCTGATCTCCGCCACATTTTTAAGTTTTTTTTTCCCATCCCCAAATAAATAAGAATATTCTTCTTTTATTATTTTAATATGTCTCAAACATTTTATTGCAGAGTAGGCCCCCCTATGACTTTTTTTAGAGGATTTTTTTTAAAGGGAAATAAAGTCCGAAATTATAAAATGGTCTGATTCCCATCTTGTAAATACAAAGTTACAATGATAATATTGGCATGGAGCCAGACTAAAATTTGTCACCGGAAAATGTTTGGGGATGTTCACCGGAAAAGTACAAAAAAACAGTGACTGCGCATGTTCAGTGCATATCCGGCAAACTAACGTTTACTGAAGATTTGCCGTCTCCGGCAAAATATCCACTGCCTTAGTTTTATTATTAATTAGGGGGCCTAGGCCTATAAGAATTAATAATAAATTAGACCTATTGGTCTTGGAAAGATGTCCATATATGAAGTTCACTAATTTTCCTCTGTATTGACTAACAAGCCCCCAGATAGCAATTTCATGTCATCAAAGTCAATTTGAGCAGTAAGAAAATACAAGCATTTTCTTAGAAAACACTTAGAATGTTTCAGTCCAATCTCATCATAGGGTTTGTACACAGGGTGTTGAGTGAACTTCGTATGTGGAAATCTTTCCTTGGTCTTCCTCCGTTAAGGCCAAATAAAAAAAAAACATGTTTTTTGTACTTAAATATTTTCCGGTGACAAATTTTGGTCTGGCTCCATGCCAACATTATTGTTTTTGAAAATTGCAGCCCCCCAAAAAAGATTCCCTTTAACTTGTAGAACGTCACAGTACATATTTAGACACAAAAAAAGAGGAAAATTACGTAAGCTTTTGATGAAAGCCCCAAAGTGTACAGTGTATTGAAATCAATTGAATAAAAAAGAATTGTGACAATTGCCTAATAATCACCAAGTTCGAATTAAAGTTAAATCTACTTGAACTGTATCAGATGTAGATGATGGCATGCGTCGGATCCAACGCCAGCACAGCTACCATGAAGTCAGTGAGCAAGCCACCGTCCTACTCCGTCATTTCATCATCGATCGATTTGAGAGGGATTCCGTTCAGGGAGCTCCAAGACTGGCCGATCTAGGCTCCATCTCACCGGAACAGGAGGAGGTCTGGAGGCGAGTGGGAGGCACACTGAGAGAAATCGGCGACATCTTGGATCAAGATAGGGAACTCCAGAGGTACGTTTTGTATGTGTGCTACAAATTTCGAGCCTAAGTTTGTACATACTTCGTGCAAGTGCGAACGCAAAGCAAATTCAATGTGACGAAATGTTCGCTGCGAAATTCACCAGAGCTTTAAATGTTCAGCTTTTGTGAATTTGCAGCCTCGATACTTGCAGGTATATCAACAGTTTGTGTTCATGCTCGCTTACGTGCCAAGTGTTAACATGTCTTTAAAAAAAAAAAAATCCTCCAAAATCAACCAGACGCTTTAGGAGGATTTTGGTGGATTGAGGCTGTATGGTAATGTACACCCTGCCCATGTGACCCCTGAGAAGGGGTGTTGTTTATCAAGACAAGAAGACCATAAATTGTCATTTTGTCATCAATTTATGAAATTCAAATTGAAATTTAAAATGCAAACTGATTCGCTAGGACATGTACATGTAATTTACAACAGACATCATTCCATTGAACTGTTCAATGGTGTTGGAAAACACGGGGGCAAATACGTTGTTCGCTGTCAACCGTGAGTGCAGTCAGTGAATCTGTCATGTATGAAGCACACACACTGAGGTCACAGGGCATGCCTGCATGCCAGCTGTGTCTTTGGAAAATTACATACATGTACATCTACATGTAGCATACATGTACATGTACATGTTCAAAGCGTCTGCAGAAACTCAAAAGCTGGCTCGTGCCCATAATTGAATAAGTAGTTCCTTTCACAGCGATGATTCGGTCCGAACCACTATCAATATAATACAACATTCCTCTCGGTTCCTTGGTAATGACAGCATACTAGACAATATTCAAGAGCCCGAGTGGGCATGCTACATTTTTTCTAAATTTATTCTTGGGGGGGGGGGGGGGGGAAGAGGTGCACATCATCTAACTAACATGGATGCACTGTTTGAAGTTGGCTCGTACCCCTGCCCTGAAAACAGGGCACTGGGACACGCTGATGAGCTTCACAGAATCTTGTGAAGGAAGTGGGATGGCATTCTGCTTAACTTATCATGACCCTTGTATAAAGCATCTACATGTAGCTGCAGCTGTTTAAAACTGCAGTTAGCCAATGCGCGCAAATGCTATCCGAAAACTTTCCCATAAAAATGCACACATTCTGTTGTTTTGGGGTTTTTTTTTTCATTGCAGACCATGTCGACAAATTTCAAGTGTCACATAATATGCAATTTGACCCATCGTGAATTCGAAACGGAGCCTGAGCAAGTGATGAGAATTGAAAAAGTACAAATGTTTTACAAAATTTTCTACATTTTGACGCTTTTCTGTGAAAAAAAGCATTTATGAATGGGAATAGAAGAGTGATGACTCAGTCGTAATGGCCGTTTAAAACCTTGCAGGGTCATGGCCGTGATGACTTGCATGTCACAGGTCAAAATCCATCCAATCACTAGCATAAATTTATCAGCCTGTCCCAGCATCTGTTTGTAGGGCGTGGGGTACGAGCGAATGTTTGAAGCAACCAATATTTGACACTTTCTGACAATAGGTGGCACTATTCGTTACGGCATATACACTGTACATTGTACCGGTTTACATACAATTTTGCAAAATATCGAGTGTCACCCTCTACCCACTAGCCTTTAGACAAGTCCCACGCGCTTACCCGGACACATGGCGCACCGCGGATGCTGGCTTGTAAAAAGACTAGCACGAGTGGCGAAGCCGCGAGGGCCTTTACCATCTCGTGGAGAACGCTTATGTTTTTCTTTATATTTGTCTACCGATTTGGTAGACACATGTGCATAATGCATGACATGTGAATGCGTGCGCGTCTTGTTTTATAGAACGCGTAGGGTGCGTGCTCGGGGGCATGCACGCAAGTCATCAGCTCAAAAATGGCTTGTGCGTGTTGATTGGTTCATATATTTTTGCATACATGCATGATTCATATTACTTGAAAAACATGAATAATGATTAGCTCCACAAGATGGTAAAGGTGATCGTGGCTTCGCCACTCGCACTGTTTTTTTTTTCGTGCCAGAATCTGTGGCGCCACGCGTCCAGGTAGACACGCGCTTTGAGAAAAGGCTACAACCCACCAAAGCAGCACCCATGTTACATGTACAATGTACGTGTGTACGGAGTTCATAGGACTGTTTACTTCATTTCTCCACAGATTAATTAACACAGTACCAACAGATTCCCCCATTGAGAAGATCATCGCTGTAGCTCAGGTGATATTTGGTGATGGTGAGATTCACTGGGGACGAATCATCGGTCTGTTCTACTTTGCCTACCGGATGTGCGTCAGGGTAAGCAGTGATGAAACAAATTGTATAATATTTACATGAAATTGATTTTCATTTTCAGGAATTAGGCCTACAAAAACAAATGTGTACACTGATCTTTTCATATTATATATAAGCACAGTCGATATCAGAATTTTAAAGAATTGATATATCAGAAATTTTGAGAATATTGTATTCATTATCTCATGTAAAAGACGATAAAGATGCCACTTTGATTAAAACAAATTTAAGTCCCAATTTTCTACGGCTTTCTCTGCACCAGAGCATATTGCTCAAACTTTTTAAAACAAATCTCAGCACTGAGAATTTGTCCAGAACGAGTATTTTTTTATAGTTTCACATTAAGGAGACCGCAAATTCCAGCGAACACAGAGCACAAAGCGACGCCGCTTGGCATTTTGCGATGTTTCTATTTTGAGTCACAAGCACAAGTTGCCACCAACTTTTAATAATTTCACTATACAGCAAACGATAAATAAAAAGTAAACGCACAAACGCGAGATTTATTTTGACGATAATCTGACACATTTTTTATATTTTCGATACGATTCTGGTTAAATGATTGCTGTTGGCGATATTGATATCGAAATAATATTGAATAATCAAGTAATATCGATATATCGATGGTGCTTTCTTCATTTTAAATACCAGCAAAACATGCAATGACACCCCACGGTTCAAGAATATAATAATAAATTGTTTTGACCAGTAGTAGTGTTGAATAATGCACAACAAAATTCTGACATGTATGTATGTATGTACGTGTACATGTAGTACATTCAGCAAGACAAAGAGAGAACAATTGATTTTTTGTTGTCCTTGAACGTTTATCTTTTGTTGAGAATGGTCCTCAGACGTAAGTCTGTGTGCTTACGGTAGTATATGGAAGAGTGTTACACAGTATTAACGCCACAAAAAAAGAAAGTCCACACTCATTGGAGGGGTCACAATTTTGAATTGGATCATCTTATGATAACGTCATTCATATACACCGTTGGGGAATTTTGTTAGCTACATGTACATTGTACATGTACATTTTGATACGCTGTTTGCTACCAAAGACTCTAAAATGTCCAAGATTGACAGTGGTTTATGAAAAACGATGCAGTTTGAAAAGTTGCAATTTAAGAGATACGCGAAGAGAAAGTACTAAGCGACAGTACACGTGCCCGTAAATTATTGCCCCTATCGACTGCACAGGAGTGCCCGAACAAAGTGCGGGTTATTCGATTTCATGTGCTACCATGCATACAAGCACGGTGCAATCGGTATTGCCTGCCATTCGTTTCAGGCAGTGTGACATCGTCATGCAGTATTTGTGAATGGTCATAAATATGTGCTCACCCGGTTTGAAAAAGAGTATCATGTTTAAAGGCAAGGGCCATTATTTGCGTCCTGCACCCGATTTCACGAAGCGCTGCGACGCGTCGCAACTCGAGTTACGCAACTCGCGGCGCATCGTATAATCCATTTCACGAAAGTTGCGATGTGTTGAACGCTTCGTAAGTTCCTTGGCAACGGCTTAAAACACGTCGCAAGCTACGACGTGTCTAGTGGTCGTCGTAAAATAAGAAGAGTCCGTTTTTAGCCAGTTTTGTGCCATAAACATCACATAAACGAGATTATAATACCGAGGCAATGTGTGTGAAGTTGTAAATAGAAAATTCATTGAATAATAATGAATTAGCCTGGAATATTGCAATTTAAATTTCAAAGTAGCTACACAGTCCACTGAGAGCTCGTTTTCCTTTAAAATTGCATCGCACGGCCGCCACTTTGTTTAACAAATGTCGAGCTGAGATCCGACGACTCTTTGTTGAATACCAGACGACTATTTACTGTACGCTGACTAAATACATAAAACAGTCATCGAGTTGTGCTGTAAATACACCTACGACGCCTCGCACTTACGACGTGTTTTGTGAAATGGATCGCAGGACGCGTCGCAGCTGCGACGCGTCGTAGGGATACGATGCGTTGCAGCGCTGCGATGCATCATAAGTTACGATGAGTTTCATGAAATCAGGTGCAGGACCCTAGCCAGTTTTAAACGTACTTGTTTAATACATTTACTGGCCATTCACATGTTTATTCCCGTATTCACAGCCGGCGACAGAACCATAGGCTCGTAAAATGACTACTTTTGTTTTTGTTGATGTTTATTCCACCTAGGCCATGGAGAACCTTCTACTACAGAACTTCCCAAGCTGGGTTAATCAACTTATCAAGGAGATAGTCCGGTTCCTGGTCAGGCGGTTCGCTGACTGGATCATCAACAGAGGAGGCTGGGTAAAGACCAATTTTATGGAATCACTAAAGACCTTTTTATAGGATACCAAAAGAACTTGCAATGCTTGAAAAACATTTTATTTTCATGCTTGAAAAAAAATTATAAAAACAAATTATGTGAAAGGACACCCATAAGATAAGCGCAATCTGGTCTCTACCCTCACAAGTACCCATTTATACTCTTGGGTGGAGAGAGGCAATTGCAGTAAAGCCAAAACAAAAGTCTCCAGTTTCTGGTATGGAGCTTGCCCCTAAAAAGTTGCGGCATGAGATTTTTTTCCCCCTCCTTTTTTCCTACTTCAAATGTCAGCTGATGTTATAGATGATGCTTCGATCCCTTAAAACTCTCAAAAATATCCTTCAGAGTGGAGCTTGAGGTGACCTCAGTAAGGCCATAAGGCTTGAGAATTCTGTACTCACTTATGATCTTGACTGACACAAACATTCTTCTTGAAATTTGGATAGTCAAGACAAAAATCAGAAAAAAACCGGTAACGTCAGACCATACAGCGACAAAGACGTGCATAGCTGCCAGGCTGGTCATTACATTTTTAGTCTGGGCCCTTACATATTGCGCTAATTAAAAAATGTACAGGTTCCAGATACACGACAATGACTCCCTCAGTCTGGGTTCCAGACGCACAATTACAAACTTACAACACTGTCTGCAAATGGTGCTTGACTAAATTTGATGCAAAATATATGGGAGCCCAGAGAGGCCACATAAAGCTTATACTCCATCGTAACCCCATCTAAAACACATTAAAATTGTGCAGCAGCAGGATTCCAGTCTAACCAGTGAGTTTGGCGGTTTTGAGACACCATCTTAAATTAGACAAAACCTTCTATTTTGCCGACGCGCATGGCTACGGCTATGCGCGCGCAGACACTTTTTTGTCCTAAAGTGTCTTGCCTAAGATCACCATTTCCTCGTCAGGATTCATAACAATATAGCATCGCATATAACCATTTGACCACTTCTCTCCACAATATCTATCATGGAATGTTGATTTCAACACAAAAGTCAAAGCTGCAAAAACACAAAATTACACAATTTAACCGTGATTTTTTTTTTCGTTTCTTAGACGGCGATAAAGGAGTACTTTGGCTCATCAACTCGGGTTGTTGGAACCCTCTTTCTTCTGTCAATTCTCACGTTAGGCTTCGGAGTCTATAAACTCAATAAAGGCTCATAGGTAAGATGATTAATAGTTAATTAGTATTCATAAATACCTAAGACAGTTTACACACTCCTATTGGTCGAGAGCCCGTCACGTGGCCGGTCTTAAAGCTATAGTCCATCATTTGCAGCCATCCGAAAAAGTAACCAGTGTACTATTGTTGAAAAACATACTTGGTTGAAAGATAGTAAGGGGACTAAACTCCCTGTGAAATTAATATGTCTGGCAAGGTATCATTTTGAAGTAATCAACGAAAGAAGGCCTTTCCAACGGTGCGTCTTAAGACGCACCGTAGGAAAATTTAAATTAGTAGTTCGTTTTGTTATTCGGCGCAGCGCACGCAAGCATTGGCACGACGCACAGGCGCGCGTGGTTGCTATTATTCGTTGGATCGGTGCGCGACATCGCGTATAGCTGCAATTCAAAACAATTCAAAACATGATTCAGCAGCTTTTGATTTGAAATTGAGATCCTAGAATGCTGTTTTTCTCGGAATATACAGCTGAAGCTGAGCTGAAACTTCATCAGGTTAGTTGTTCAGTATCCTTCATTAGATTTTGAACACTTTTGTTGCTTCAAACGAACAAAATGCACAAATTACAAATGATGGACTATATCTTTAAACATATGATAAAGACATGGCTAGCTGGTCTTAAACACATGACACACAGTGTCACATGAAATTTAGACTCCCATGAAATCCGGTGCCTTTTAACGTTCCATTGGTTGAACGTTCACATTCCTCACGTATGCATGCGCAATGTACTACCAGTGAATCAGTATTTCATGTTCCAAAATTCACACTACACCAACCCAGCTGGTTTTGCGCGACATGAGTTGTGGAGGGGCATTCCATACTAGTCATAGGGTTGTTTCGTAAAACTTGAAGTAAAATTGTTGAACAAAATGGTTGACAACGTCTAGTTTTTGACCGAAAAGATGTTTATGAATGGGAATAAATATGTGTTTGGTCGGTATTAAACACTCTGTTTAAGACCGATGGGAGTCTGGATGGGTAATACTCCCACCGGTCTTAAACATAGAGATATAATACCTCCCGAACACACATTTATTCCCTTAATAACAACCATGTAACATGTAACAACCTGCAGTTCAGTGTTTTGGAGAAATTGACCTATCGCGGTAGAATCGCGGTAGAATCACGTCAACGCAGATTTTAAATTATTGTCGAATTACATGACATACAAATAAATGCGGAATACGCACAATCTGAGACAAACAAAACTTAGTGTCTAAAAATTCCATAGGGTTGTGGTTGTCTAAGGGGCGTGGCTAACACGTAAACGGCGATAGGTCAATTAACAGTATGGAAGTCAAGTCCGGTCACAAGTAACAAGGGACAAATGTTTTGGTTACATGTACAAAGTTCATTTGAATAGCTTATGACTTGCCTTGAGACTGAAGGACTAAAGATAGATTGGGTTAGGATTAGTCAAAAACCAGAAAAATAATTGATACGTTGACAAACAATGTTCTACTATTTACTGCATGTTCTGGACATTTGTATGGTGCAGGCTCTGCACCCGTTTTGCTCAACATCTTATATTGAAATCCCATCAGAACGTGTTCCAGATGCTGATTTCAGGAACATTTCAGGAACAATTATGCCTAGGCAACTTTTGAATCGAAATCAAGATCCTGGAAGATTGTTTTCTCAGAATATACAGCATTTACTGAGCCACAACTTCATCGGTTTAGTTGTTCAGCATCAGTCTTGTAGATTTGAGCACTTTTATTGCTTCAAATGAACCAATGCACAAATGACAAATGTCCTACTCTACCTGTAATGACATTCATTGATTTTTCTTCTATATTTTCCATCTCCTAATAGGTTGGAACAGTGATTATCTTTTTATACTGTCGTCTCCGATGTTGAAACACAGCAATGCCGGGGTTTGATATGGGTATTTGAATGCTGCATCGCCATTCCTACGACAAACCTTCCTACGGTGGTCAAATGCGTCATAGCAACTTTCACATCAAAAAAATAACACTTTAAAAGGTAATTAACACCATTTTTAAAATGAAACTACCAACATATGGAATAATCTACTTGATTGTAAGTAAATAATAAGAACAAGAATCCTGTGAAATTTCGCCTAGTGTGCTGCCATTTTCAAGAAATTACATGCATTTTATCACGATGGTTCACTCCAGACTATCATGAGAATGTATTTTTTTTTCAATACAAGTTGGGGTGTCGGAAAAAAAAGGAACCCAAAATGTAAACGTAAACTATAAAGCCAAATAAAAAAAAGCATGTTTATCATTCCTGCCTGCCTTCTTTTTGGAGGCCACCTGAATTGCCAAATATTGGCCCATGTTGTTCTTGGCCCTGACGTTAGGTAAGATTTCATCTCAGACAGGCACGAGCAGGCAGAGAGGATGACTTCGCATATGCTGGACTGGTGTTTTCTACTGTCCTCAAACATCTCAGGGTTATTTTCAGGGTTGGTGTTTGGGTCTGCACAGGTTAGGTGTTCTGTTAATAGCAGTTCGAATCTGTGGCGAGGCATGGTACCTACATTCAGCCAGTTGTAATAACCAGGATCGGCTGACCAGTAATTCTGGTAGTAGGAATCTTGGTCAGTCCCATCACCATGAGGATCCAGAACCAAGCTCTAACCTCTTCCACCGTTGTCATCACGCGTCTGCCAACCTTGGGCATGTTGATGTTTGTCCAAGCTGTGATCTGCAGGAACAGACTGAGCGGAAAAAAACTTCAGGAAGTACTTCAAGGGATATTTGTTCCTTTTGAAAATTATCTTTGTTGGGGTCCAGCAAACTCAGTAACCTTGATCTTGGTCAGAGATCTCGTCCAGCCCAGTTTGTCTGGTGGGTAGTCCTCATGGTTGGTCTGAGGTGGATCCGGATCATTATCTGAGTCTGGCTGTGGGTCTGGTTTCTTCTTTTTCCTTCTCCCGTCCTTTGCTGGTTCAGGTGATGATCCATCTCATCACCACCCTCGTGCTCATCCTCAGTACTGTCCTCAGTGCTTGAGCTTTCCGCCTCCAAGTCGTTGGTTTGAAGCTGCTCCTCTGTGGACTCAATGGTGTCCTCCCCTTTCTCTTTCTCAGAGGTACATGTACTGGTATTTCCTTGCTCCTCCAGAATCTGCTTGACGACATCTTCCAGGTATGCCTCCTCCTCACTGTCCGAGATGTTGACTACAGCCCGTAGTTTTTAGTGGTCATACGGATCCCTAAATGCCCACAGCTCTTTCTTAACCCTAACTGCCCAAACCTTTTTGCTGGCATCCTTCCCTAACCACACAAACTCCAACACCTTGCAATCACACTCTTTCCTCACAGTACCCAATCACACAAACTCCAACAGTACTCTTACTGTAACAATATACCAATAAGTCAAACTCCAACAGGCCCTTACCTGTGTGATTCTGATTGATTGGGTACAGCAGGCCCAAAGCACAGTATGAAGAGTAGGCACTCCCAGTACGATACCTAACCCAACAAAATCAGCATCATTTTCATCATTCTCCATATCCATCATGGGGGATGTACAGCCAACCCATGCCCAAGTAATCAGCTGCAGACTGCCACAGTTATTGCACTCGCTCGTGTGTTGTGTGGTCCCCTTGGGCCTCTGGTCCAGGCAGGGTCAGGGCAGGGTCATGGACTCCCCTTAGTTGGAGTGGGGAATCAATCAATGTGCCACAACAGAAATACTGGGGTTTTTTTTTGGGGGGGGGCTCATGTGTTTGTTAACATTCCTAACACTTGTTACTTTCAACCACAGCTGCTAGTTGAAAGAATAACTATATAATCATTGCTCCTTTTTTTTTCCCTTTTTTTTTTTGGTTTTTTTTTTGGTTTTTTGGTAGTCAAAAAAATGGAGAACAAAAATGAGTTGTGAGTGTATACATTTTGAACACACCGGTTCAAAGAATGACAAAATTATCGTTGGCCATTTTCTTTCCCCTTCTTTTACTTGTACTTTTTGTGGGTTTTTTTTGAGGGGTGGGCTTAGGTAGTAAAAAAATGAAGAAAAAACACTGAGAGTACAAGAAACTTGGCTGGCTATTCTGCTTTGAAGTGTTCTAGTCGGTGGTAGTGGTGGTGGAGTCGTTCTCGATGTCACTGGCTCTATGGTATTTCAGGAAACAGCGGCCTGGGCAGAGATTGACTCCACAAACTGGACAGCCTCTTTGTGATGACTTGGGTAGACCTGCCTTCGTGAGGATGTTGTGCTCCCTGCACCACCTGCACCAACGAGCATTCCGTCCCGGCATCTTTGCAGAGTAGTGGCCTTGGTTATTGTAGGCAGGAACGGGACGAGAGCGAGTAACTTGACGAGGGGGGACACCTCCAGCATATCCATCAATCAAGCCTACTGCCACATCAGGAACAAACTTGGAGTGGGTCATCGTGTTGGCATCCTTTGTTGTCTCCTTTGCATCACCGTCGCTGATGCTGCTATCGCTGTCATCCGTGGTTGGATGGTGGTGCTTGTAGGCCAACCAAGCATTGACCCTGGCTACATCCAGCAGGAAGTACAGGATCCCACGCCACCAGTGCTGGGACTTGCGGGCGCATGTGTGGTATGACCGTAGTTGGTCGCCTCTGTTGACACCACCCATGCACCTGGTGTAGGAGACCGCCTGAGGAGGAGCTGGAATGGTCGTTGACCTCAGCCGCCCTGTATTCTCTTCTATACATTTTCTCTTGAGGGTGTGGATGGCGGGATCCCTCCAGCCTTGATGTGCAGTGGAGAGCAGCATCATGATGCAGCTGTCTTTCCAGACGGTGGCAGTCAGCTGTCCATTTTGCCTTGTGTAGAAGGTGCCTCTCCTTGCTCGCCTCATCTGCTTCATTTTCAGATTCACAGGGTTGGATTTCGTTGATGTGAAGTCACAAGGCAGCCCCTTCTATTACACTTGACTGCCCCTGTAAGGTAGGTCTGGCTGGCGTGCAATGACCGTGCTAGGCCCACTGATGTGTACAGTTTATCCCTGAAGATATGATGGTACACATTCAGGTGGTGCTTTGCAACACTCGTGGCAATGTCGTTCATCTTCGATGATTTCTGGCTGTAAGGATAGACCATGAAGTTGAGGAAGAAGCCAGTGGCATACTCTGCAATGGCGTAGATCTTAAAGCCAGCACGAATCTGCTTTAACGGCATAAAGAACTTCTTCACGCTTGCATTAAAGCCACGATATTTAATCATTGCTTCGTCGATGGTTAGCTCATGGCCAGGATTGTAGCACCTCAGGCAGCACTTGCGAACTTTACCCCACACAGGTTGGAGGGGGTACAATGGATGTTTTCGTTTGGTCATGTACCGATGGGCCTCATCGCGGATCAGGTTGGGGTCCTTGGCTGGATCACTGCAGGCTAGGTGCTGATTCAGCACATCTAAACGGTGTCTCTTCATGGTGTTGGAGATGAGGGTGTTTCTCAGCCCAGGATTGAAGACCAATAGTCCTTGTAGTTCCTTATCTGTACCAGTCTCATCAGCAGGTGTATGCCAAACCACGCCTTGATCTCGTGCAGTGAAGTCCTGGGCAGATGGCTTGAGGACAATTTCTTGTTAGTCCACTTCACTATGTTGGTGAAGGGGATCAAAGGGAAGAACTTAAGGAAGTACTTCAATGGTGAGGACTTCTTCCTAAAGGTGGGCCCTTGCGGTTTCTTCCCCTTGAATCCTGGGATGGTGTAGTCGTCCAGGTAGCGGGTCCATCCCAGGTCATCCGGAGGGTAGTCATCCTGGTATGGAGAAGGGGGGTCGAGATCATTGTCCGAATCCGGCTGGACCTCTGTCCCTCTCTTCTTTGAAGGGGGCTTTCGTCTGGATGGTCCAGCAACCTCTTGCTCCTCTCCTGTCTCCTCGCTGTCTGTCTCCTCTCCTCCCGCCTCCTCTCTCTCTGTCTCATCTCCGCCAGTCTCCTCTCTCTCTCCCTCCTCTCTGCCTGTCTCCTCCCAATCTCCTGTCTCCTTCCATGGCTCCTCTCATCTCCATCCTCGTGCCCATCCTCAGTACTGTCCTCAGCTGTGCTTGAGCTTTCCGCCTCCAAGTCGTTGGTTTGAAGCTGCTCCTCTGTGGACTCAATGGTGTCCTTCCTTTTCTCTTGCTCAGAGGTACATGTACTGGTATTTCCTTGCTCCTCCAGAATCGGCTTGACGACATCTTCCAGGTATGCCTTTTCCTCACTGTCCGAGATGTTGACTACAGCCCATAGTTTTTAGTGGTCGTACGGATCCCTAAACGCCCACAGCTCTTCCTTAACCCTAACCCTCCGGGGTATTTTGGCTAGAAAGCCTGCCAGATGCATCAAACTGCATCAGCTGGCCAAATGACTTGGCTGCACAACGCAGCAAAGTGCAGCTATGGATCTCGCTGCGTGTGGCATGCAAGGGCATATGGTGTTGATCAGTGGCAGTACAAGTCCCTTGCCGATTGAAGCAGAATGCAGCAAGTACCAAAAGTACTGGAAGCCTGGCTAGTTTTCTTGAATTGAGAATAATTTGATATCTTAGTGCTGCTGGGGTTTACTCGGAGAGACTTTAACTGTACAGCAAATACCAAATATACTTGATACCAAGAAAACTTGCCAGGCTCCAGCAACTTTGATACTTGATGCATTCTGTTATTTTCTTTTTCTTCTAGTGTATTTTTCTTTTTACTATTTACATAACTTATTTACATTATTTTCTTTTTGTTTTCCTGTGATTCTTTTTCTTCTCTTTACCAGTATTTTCCTTTCTATAATTTACACTATTTACATACTTTTTTCTTCTTCTTCTTTGTAAACTCTTTAGGGTAAAGAAATGGAATAAATAAATAAACTCTTTTAGTATTCATGCTTTTCTGTTATTCCTTTTGTTGTTTTATACTTTCCTTCTATTATTTACATTATTTACACATTTTGTCTGCTTTTATTATTAAACTCTTCTTACTTTTCATTGGTTTCTGTTTGTCTATTTCTTCTTTTATGTTTTCTTCCTACTATTTACATTATTTACAACTTCCAGTCTTCTACTTTTTCATTCTTTTCTGTTTTGTTTAGATGGTTTTTGTAGCCTTTAGCATTTTTGGAACTAGTGGTTGTGAAATTCCAGGAAGCAGCGGCCCTCGCACAGGTGAACATTGCACATCATGCATCCATGTCTCGTCACAGGCGTGTTCCCCGATGAGTTCTTTCTTCCAGTTCTTAGGCACCTCTTGCATCGCTTAGACCACTTTGACGGTATCTTCTGGCGGCGGTGACTGGGCAGGTTCTGGGGCTCTCTGGTGTTGGACTGGGGTTCGGCTGTGCCTCGTGAGTGGCCCGCAATCAGCCCCTTGGCCACATCCATCACAAAGCTCGAATGGGATCTCTTGGAGGATGGTCTGATTTGCTTCTTGGTGTGGTGATGGCAGTAGGTGATCCAGCCATTAACTCGGCTCGCATCGATGAGGAAATATAAGATCTTCCGCCACCACTGTTGGCTCTTCCGCGAGCAGGTGTAGTAGCTCCGGAACTGGTCTGCCCGATCTACTCCACCCATGTGCTTGGTGTAATCTATGGCCTGCCTGGGTGCCGTCACTGCCTCCTGTACTCGCCGCCCTCTCCGGCTGATCTTCCTCTGCAGGGTGTCCCGTGTCTTGTTCCTGTACCCTTGATGGCAGGAACTGAGGAGGGGAAGGACCCTGGTATCCTTCCACACCACGGCGGTCATCTAGCCTAGCTGGCGGGTGTAGAAACTGCCTCTAGGCATCTTGCCCAGCTCCTTCACCTTTCGATGATGATGTGGGTTCTTGTCCTGGTTGCTGCTGAAGTCAACAGGCAGCCCCTTGCTGACTAGCTTTACAGCTCCTGTCAGGTATGTCCTCTCTGCCAGCAGACGTCGGGCCAGCTCCAACGACGTGTAAAGCTTGTCGGTGTATATCTTGTGGTACAGTCCAAAAAATGGCCAAGCAACTGCCATGGCAATGTCGGCCATTTTGGCAGGCTTGCCCTTCTGGTAGGGGTGAAGCATGAAGTTGGCTAGGTAGCCGGTGGAGGACTCTGCAGTGGCGTACAACTTGAATCCTGCCCTGATTGGCTTCAGAGGCATAAAGAACTTGCGGACTTTAGCCTTGAAGCCAGAGTACTTTATCATCGCTTCGTCGATAGCCAAATGCTGGCCCATGGTGTACTTGTCCCTGCAATTGGACAGGACTTCATCCCATACAGGCTGGAGCGGGTAGAGGGGATGACTTCGCATGTGGCGGTACCGTTGAATCTTGTCCACAATCATCTCAGGGCTGGTGTTGGGGTCTGCACAGGCCAGGTGTTTGGTGATCGTGTCGAATCTGTGGCGAGTCATTGTACTTGCGATGAGGCGGTTATAATACCCTGGATCAAAAGACCAGTAGTTCTGGTAGTACGGAATCTTTGTCAGTCCCATCACCATATGTATACCGAACCAAGCCTTCACCTCTTCCACTGATGTCAGTAGTCGGCTGCCAGCCTTCCGCATGTTGGTGTTGGTCCAGGTGGATTTAAGCAGGAACAGGCTGAGTGGGAAGAATTTCAGGAAATACTTCACAGGGTCTCGTTTCTTTCGGAAGTTGGGTCCTTGCTGGGGTCCTGTGAAGTCCTTCACCTTGACCTTGCTGAGGGATCTAGTCCAGCCCAGGTTGTCTGGTGGGAAGTCCTCATCATCGGTCTGGGGTGGATTGGGGTCGTTATCCGAGTCTGGCTGGGGGTCAGGCTTCTTCTTCCTTCTTCGGCCATCCTTTGCTGGTGCAGGTGACTCCTCTCCTTGAGATGACTCCTCTCCTCCCATCTCATCTTCATCCTCCTCGGTAGTCTCTTCCGTGCTTGAGCTTTGTTGCCGACAGTCATCCGTCTGGAGCTGCTCCTCTGTGGAGGTGGTCTCCCCTGTCTCCAGCTCAGCAGAGGCACAAGTATTGCCTAGCTCCACCTCCTCCTCCTCCTCCTCTAGAATCTGGTCCACCACATCATCCAGGTACGCCTCCTCCTCACTGTCAGAGATGTCCACAACAGCTCGGTATGTCTTAGTGGTCATGGGGATTGCTAAATCCCCACAGCTCCTCCTCAGTGCTAGTGTCAGTTCTTGTCTTCTTGCCTCCTTCAACCGTGCTTGGTATGTCGGGTTGTGCATCTGGGCCAGTGGGTGGCGTCCTTTCCCCGTCCCTCCTTCTTTTGCTACTTTCTTGGCAGGATGTTTGCCGGTCTCTCTTCTTCCTTTCTTGCCTGGCTCCTCCATGATCTCTTTCATAAATATTTCTCTTTCACCTTCTCTCAAGCCAAGCTGCAGAGCTCTTGCTTCTCGAGACATTATTTCGCTTGTTGCATTCGTAAGAATGGGTGGACTGGAGAAATTTTCTGCCCCTTTTATACATTTTGGGGGCATGATGTTACATAATAAAACGTAATATATTATATAATATTGGATAACAGTTATGAATATTTATGTTTTGTTATTATATAATATTTAAAAAAACAATTATTCATGTAGAAAACATACTTTCTCATATGTAACTTACATTGTACTTACCTTTGAAATAAATCCACTATCCCAAAATGTACTTACCTTTGAAACAACCCATTAGATGTTGTGCAGACAACACTTTGACAGTATAGTGAAACCCAATATTGACCACCTTTCAGTTAGCCCAGTAACCCCAGTGACAGCTACCAGCAGCCCACCAGTGAAAAAGTCAAGTGCAGTTACCAAACTCCCAACACATAAGCTGGTTTGACCTCTCTACGCATCAGTATTGCTACACACTTCACATCAATCTTTGGTAGCATTTTCCATCAAAGTGCACCAGATATTTCCCGCCTGGTGCACTGTGCTGCGTCTGGCAGGGTTAGGGTTAATAGCAGTTCAAATCTGTGGCAAGGGATGGTACCTGCATTCAGCCAGTTGTAATAACCAGGATCGGCTGACCAGTAGTTCTGGTAGTAGGAATCTTGGTCAGTCCCTTCACCACGTGGATCCAGAACCAAGCTCTAACCTCTTCCACCGTCGTCATCAGGCGTCTGCCAACCTTGCGCATGTTGATGTTTGTCCAAGCTGTGATCTGCAGGAACCATAGAGCTATATTAAATTACTAGAGCGCTAACTCCTCATTCTTTTGCGCGGAGACGCTTTGAAGCCGCTCTTGGTGCAGACATTTTGAATTTATGTGCGTGTTTGTAGAACACAATCAAAATAGATGGATTGAATTTTAAAAGTGTACTCTAAATGCAACGCGCAAGTAGAAGATATGCTTTTTTTGCATCCTCTATTTCTTGGATGTCTTCTTCGTCTTCTTCTTCTTCTTCTTCTTCGGCGGTGGTTCGGGGGCTGATGAGGAGTCAGTGGTGGCTGATGTTGATGCCGTGGAGTAGTGGCGGGTTGCTGCCTGGTGGAATTTGATGAAACAAGGCCCTGGACACAAGTTCACCATGCAGGCGGCGCAGCCACTTCTGGTGGTCTTAACCCAACCGGACTGGGTTACTCCGTCGTTGTGCAGACACCACTGGCAGCACTTCGGGTATTGGCCCGGCATCTTGGTGCTGTAGTGCCCCTTGATGTTCTGTCCTGGGATGGTGGTGGGTGCCGTTCACTGGGGATTTGTGGAGCCCCCAGCATAGCCATTGACCAGCTCCGTGTCCAGCTCCAGGATGAAGTTGGCGTGACTTAGGAGCTTAGTGGTGGTGTGGCCTGCATCCTCGTCAGTGGAGCTAGATGGAAGATCCTGTGCTTGATGGCGGTGCTTGGCGTAACAGATATTGGCGTTGACGCGGCTGATGTCAATCAAAAAGTACAGTATCTTCTTCCACCAGTACTGGGCCTTACGGGAGCAGGTGTAGTTGGCACGGAGCTGGTCTCCTCGGTCAACTCCTCCCATGTTGTTGATATAATCAATCACCTGAGGGGGAGCTGGAATGACTTTGGACTTCCTCCGCCCGCTGTCGTCAGGGACTTTCCGCTGGACGTTGTGGGTGTCCGGATCACGCCATCCTTGATGGGCTGAGGACAGCACTAACATGGCCTTGCTGTCCTTCCAAGCTGTGGCTACCAGTTGGCTGTTTTGTCTCGCATGAAACGTGCCCCTCTTGATACGCCTCATCTGTGCCAACTTCCCTGTCAGATCCTTGGGCAGGCCTCTGCTGTTGCTCTTGATCACTCCGCTCAAGTATACTTGACGGGCCAGTAAGGCTCTGGCCTGAGGGATGGACGTGTATAAGCGGTCAGTGAAGACGTGGTGGTGGCGGTGACGGTGGTGTCTTAGGACTTTAGTTGTGATGTCAGTCATCTTTGTCTTCCCCCAGGGGTGTGCCATGAAGTTGAGGACAGCTCCAGTAGCCGACTCAGCCAGCACGTAGATTTTAAACCCCCTTTATCGGTCCCAATTTACCAATTTCATTTTTGTTTTTATTTTTTTCGCTCAGATTATTCACAGATTTTCTTCTTCAAATCTGTTTATCAATCATCATTTCCTCGTTTCCCTTTTTTATTTCTTCTGCTAAGTTTGTCCCTTTCTTCTGGATTTCTTTTGTTTGTTTTATTCTTGTTATAAGAAAGAAAAGCAACACCAAACGATTATTCTGCAGAGTGGAACTCCAGGAAACATCTGCCACGGCAGATATGTACATGTATGTAGCATGATTGGCGACGGCACAGGACACATACAAATGGCATGATACCGGTAGTTGGGTCGATAGATTGTGGCACTTGTGGTAGTTGTATATGCTGGCGATGTCTTGTGGTTCCCTCTACAAAGCCGGCAGTTAGCCTCTCACCAATCTCGACAGTGAACATGCGGTAGGTAACGGCATCATCTTAGCTTCGCAATGCCAAGTATTTACTTGAGCGACATCAACACGAAAGTATAAGATCTTTTTCCACCAGTGCATGGACTGAGGGCTGTAAGAGTAGTATGCCGAAGTTGATGGGATACGTCAACACCACCCATGAATTTGGTGTATGAAATGGGCTGCGAGAGAGCTTGAACATCCTTCTTACTGGAACTCTTTTCACCCTCCTTGATGTTTCTGGTGATAAAGTCAGTCACCTTATTCCGGTAGTCCTGATTGCATGTACATCTAGAGTGTACAGAGATAACCTTGGCGTAATGCCACAGGAATGCAGTCATCTGCTCCTTCTGTTTTGTGTAGGTAGTGCGTTGAGGTGCCATGCCCATAATTCTTTATACGGCAGTGCCGGTTACGTTATAACTTCTACATTTGTACTGAAGTTGTCCAGCTGCCCTTTTGCTGCCAATTTGAAGGCAACACACTTGTAGGTCGCGATGGAGCTGGTGATAATGATCAAGGAAGGGCTCCATCATCTTTATGCTGATGTCCTTTATCTTCTGGTGGCGCTCTACGTGGACCATTATATGAAGAAGACAACATAAACCTTGAATCACATCTTGCAAGGCTTTGGAGTCAAGATGAATCGTCTCACATTGGCCTTGGTGCCTTTGTATTTGATCATGGCTTCATTCAGGCCGATTTCTTTACAAGGATTGTAGTTGGCTAAACAGCAGTTGATGACATGGTCCCAGATTCACTGGAGATGGTGCAATAGGTGCATCTTGATGTACATGTAGCGGTCCTTTTTGCCTGTTATCGAGGATTAGGTCTGCCATTGATGTTATCCTTGTAGTACTTGATAGAGTACTGCAGTGGGTCATCCCCTTCACGCCGCTCAAAGGTCGGGCCATACTGCTCCCCTTGAAGCTGTTGATGTGAAGCTTGGTGTGATCTCTTGTCCACCCATGGCAATCTTCATGGTATTTGGGATGCTGGTTTTGTCTCGGCTTGATGGGGTCATCATCCGAGCCAGTATCGACAGGCATTTTTCCTTCTTTTCCAAGTCTTTGTTTGCGTTGGTTCAGACGCAATATCTATTAATGATGAATCGTCTTTACCCTGAAGATCCTCTTCTTCATTGTCACCATCACCCCTGTCATCATGAACTGTATCATCTGTGAAGTCTTCCTCTTCTTCTCATCAGGGCTAGTATAAGATGTCAGTGGCTTGTCTGAAGACTTCTATGACTCTGGATAATGGATCATTTTAGCCATAAACCTGTTCAAATCTTGTTCCTGTCAAATTTTCCTGAAGAATCAGGGCCTCTCTGAAGCTCATCTTGCTATAGCTGTATTTCAATGACTAGCATGTACCACTAACGGCAGGAGTGTGCAGAAGTTGTCTGGCAGTCCCGTTTATAGCTTTAGTGTCCTCTTGTAAACTCATGCTGCATAATCAGTCTGTCATTATGTTATGTTTGTAAATAGACAATTATGTCAGTAGAGTGACATAAGAGTAATAATACACAAACGTAATACCATGCCCCATTGTCACTTCTCTATGATAAAACAGAACAATCTGAATCATGTTCAACAAACAAAGAGTGTTTGCACCCCATAACAATGATGGGGTGTTATATTGATAGCAGACACCCAGTAGTTTTCAATTAATGTCGACCAAATTGAAGGCCAATGGTGCAACAACAAAGTCAACTACATGTACATACATGTATGGAGCAATTTGTAGATGTTTAACATCAGGAAACCAGTCTCGAAGACTTGCACCGGTTCACAGAGATGTGTAATCGATGGCAAACACTTCAGACTAACTAAATATTGGAAATTGAATTGGGGGCAGTATTTGAAGGAAAAAAAAACCAGTTGATCAATAAAATACAATTTTTCTTGAAAATGTCAGCACACTACGTACCATGATTTCACAGGATGCTTTAGACTGTCATTCACTAACAGTCAAGTAAGGTATTTCACAATAATTTGGTAGTTTTGATTTTTGATGTTTGCAAATGTTGTTTTCAAAACCTTTCCCTTGATACATTTCGACAAATAGGGACTTTCTCTGTTATGGCAGTGAGAGAGGGAGGTTTAAAGTGCTGTGTATCCACAATTTGTTTTTGCACATGCAGATCTAAGTTTAAGTAATTGAAACTGAAATATTTATCAACTAATTGTTATTTTAACGAATCCAATTTTTGATACATGCTTGTGACATGAACATGTATATAATTTGGAAAATTAAAGCAAGTCTTTAGTTGTAAAGAATACACTGAGAATGCTTGACGTAACCTCCTCCCCAGGTCAGGCTCACTTCCTTAACAACGGTTCACATGCATTCCATACCAACAACTTTTACATACGTTGAACACACACGATCACAGACACCAATTTTACATTCTAAATTTAGAGAACATTTTCACAAATTAGCACCTGAAAATGGTTAGTGCCTTTACAGCAGATTGTCACCACACCAGTTACAACCACATTTGGGCTTATTTTCACTTCAAAGAGGATAATAATGAAACGGATCACAACAGCCACAGTGTTCACTGGGCCGTTGGAGTGCCCGTGAGCCAGTAACCATGGTTGCACTGAGTTGACCGCTGGGTGACGTTTGACTTTCCACCGAATACATTGTATACCAGTTCAAAGGAAATGTACATGTATTGAACCTAAGATTATTAACAGAGTTTGGCTTTCCACCGAATACATTGTACACCAGAAAGGAAATGTACACGTTGGAACTTATTATGATTATGAACAGAGTTTGGCTTTCCACCGAATACACATTGTATACCGGAAAGGAAATGTATGGAATCTAAGATTATGAACATCGAGGTAATGTTAAGAAGTAAACATCTTCCACTTACTTCTTACATGTATGCATATTGTTATATAATATTTATAAATTTCCATGACACAAAAGCAGGGCTTTTGAAAAAAAAGTTTGAACGTGTAAACAGTACCTTAACTAAATGGCTGTCATTCATATTTTATTCAATTCCTTATACAATTTAAAAAAGTCTACCCCCAACAAAAATTCAAAGAGTTCAAGTAGACAATTTGTAAAAACTAAGAGCCCCGTGTTGGTGGTTCCCATTATAATTTTTGTTAAATTCCTGACACTTGGTTGTCATTCACTGAATGTTAAGCAAGGGTCACAAAATGAATGGTTGATGACTCAAAACTGAATTATTCTTGCTTGGTCAACTAAGCCCTGGTATACAAGCTGGAAGTTTGTTGAAAATACTGTTTCACCTGTTAAATTCAGTAGTGTGCCAAAAAGTGCAACATTCAGAACACAAATAAATTTAATTGAAACTGTTTTACCCCGACAGAACTCAACCCATCAAACCCCAACGGCATGCTTTGTTGGAATCTGTCAGGATGGGTACAGTACATGTACCCCTAAACTGACAGTCTTTTACATTTAGTTGGCACACCTCAAGAATCCAAGTCAGAAGTATGTGTGTGCAGTTTCCAGTACGGTGTTGGAATTTGCCAGGATGGGTATGATTCCTAGTAAATAATGTTGGGGAGTTAGGGTTAATGGTTTTTTTGTCCTTCAATGAAATTATACATTACATGAAAGCCTGACTATTTCTCAATCCACTCCTTTTTACCCCATTCCATTTGGGTCCCTAGATCCGGAAATACAATCAAATAAGTGAAAGGGTGTAAATTTTACTTGGGCCACTCTCACCTGTGATGTCACCAACTTCAATGCCTATTCAATGCTTATTCAATGCTCAACCCAGATTCAGCATGTCCAGGTGAGAGTGGCCCAAGTAAAATTTAAAAATGGAATTGGGTGAAAGGAGTGGATTGAGAAATAGTCAGGCTTTAATGTAAAATATAATTTCATGGAAGGAAAAACATTAAACAGTTTTATGTATTTGTTTCTGAATGTTGCACTTTTTGGCACACTCTATACATTAGGTTTGATATTGTAATGCAATTTGCAATTTACTTAGCTTAGAGTGTTATGTATCTAGATTATAAATGGTACAGTGTTGTTTTTGCTCGTCCCAAAAGGCCAGTCTATGTCATCTTCATGCCTCACTGACTGACAGTCACTTATGACTTACACACGTATGGGAGCATCTTTGCGAGGCTTGCCTATTCATGTATGTCATGTGGCATCCTTGGCCGTGTCCGAATTACAAAGATATGGCTTGAAATAATACACGAGAGTATGGGAAGTGGCTGCAACCGCTACCATAGACGCGTGTGTAATTTCATGGCCCTACACCATGTGCATTAGTCTGGTGCCGCTTCTCCTATGGACTTTTATGATACATAATAAGTCGATAAAAGGCAATAAGTCTAGGCTCCATGCGAACGACTCATTAAGTGGAATTTTTTTTTAACTTTAATCATGTTACCACTACAGCTTAATCAACTACAATTGATTTGTGTGTGCTCTGGGACCAGCTTTACTAGACCTGCCTTGTCTTGTATAATTGCCCATAAATTTGGGTATG